TATGAAAGAGTTGATAAAATTTAAGTTTTAACAAAATTTTTTAATTTCTCAATTGACTAATACAATTCTGTAGGGAGGATATGAACTCTGGAGTTCAAAATATCTGTGTACACTTCTGTAGCCCCATCATAGTAGTTCTTTAAAAATCTAGACTCTCTGGTAGAACAAAATCCATATTTCCACTATGAGTACCTGTTGCTCTTTTATGATCCTTTGATGCTCTGCTTTTCAGTGGTGTCCTTAAAAGGTCTTTCTCTAAGATTACAGTGCAAACTTAACAGCTTCTGCTACTAATTAACCTTTCTTCCCCTGAACTGGTGCATGTTTGTCTTTGTTCTATTTGTGCTGTCTGTGAAATTTAGGAGAGGAACAAAGATTCTCACAGCAAAAGGGCACCAAATATTTTTACTGCTAACTCCTTGGTTCATGGATTCTCAATGGTCACCTTGAGGCCATAATTGTGTTCATATGTCATCATAGACTAATCTCAAGAGCCTGCCCTCTTTCAATTCCTTATCCCCATGCAGAATCCTAAATACCATTTCCAGCCTTGTTGCCATTTAAACTTTCAAATAAACAATGTCAAGAGACACTTCTCAGGGGAGAAGTGGGGGAAAAATGGTAGTTGAAAACTAGCTTCTGTTTTGTATATATTAAGATAATCAGTAACAAAACTGTGGAGATTTTCCTGTCCCTCCATAACACATTTCTGAAAAGAAAGAAAGATGAGATGTAGAACTTTCAGAAACCCAGAAGCAAGTCTTCTCTATATAAACATTATAAGGTGCAGATACTATTTTTTAATCAGAACACCCTCAGTGTGGCGCTTGATCATTCAGTACATGCCAAGAAAAAAGCTTAACCATCTACAGAAAAATATCAGTTACCCTTTGTCTAAATACTACTCCTATATTCTCATTAATATTTAATTTTAAATTTTTATTTGTTTATTTTTTTGAGATAGAGTTTCACTCTGTCATCAGGCTGGAGTGCAGTGGCACAATCTCAGCTCACTGCAACCTCCACTTCCTGGGTTCTAGAGATTCTCCTACCTCTGCCTCCCGAGTAGCTGGGATTACAGGTGCATGCCACCACTCTGGGCTAGTTTTTGTATTTTTAGTAGAGACAGGGGTCTCACCATGTTGGCCAATAACCTGACCTCAAATTATTCACCTGCCTTGGCCCCCCAAAGTGTTAGGATTACAGGCGCAAGCCACGGCTTCAGGTCCTCGTTAATGTGTCTTAAATAAGAAATCACAGTATTTAAATATAAGCGGTTTCTAAATTTTTTTTTTTTTTTTCTTTTCTTTATTTATTTGAGATGGAGTTTTGCTCTGTCACCCGGGATGGAGTGCAGTACCCTAATCTTGGCTTACTGCAACCTCCACCTCCTGGGTTCAAGTGAGTCTCCTGCCTCAGCCTCCCAAATAGCTGGGATTACAGGCACATGCCACAATGCCCCGCTAATTTTTAAATTTTTAGTAGAGATGGGATTTCACCATGTTGGCCAGGCTGGTCTCAAACTCTTGACTCCAGATGATCCTCCCAGCACTCCCAAAGTGCAGGGATTCCAGGAGTAAGCCACCTGGCTTTAAATGTTAATTCTGTTGGTGAAGTGTTACATGTTGAGTTTTCTTCTAAAAATAATTTGGGTAAAAGATAAGGGATCAACTGTATACTGATTTCATGTGAATTTAGGTCAAATTAACTATGTCCCAGGAACTACATGTTTAGTACTTGCTGGGACTAATGATCAACTTGACTTAACCGGGCAAATTCAACGTTAGCAACAGGTGAGACAACTTTATTAGAAGCAGTTTCTGTGTCAAATAAATCTTGGAAGCCATCGAAGTTATTTTAATACTACAATAAAGAGCAGAACAACTGATGGAAGAATTAAGCTCTACAAGACTTAGGATGGAAGATTGTTCACTATTCATTAAGAGTAAGGGTGTGACTGCAGGTCTCAGCAGCCCTGAAGTTAGCCTTCAGCATGGATTCCTGTCAGTCATTAATCATTCTCTGATACAAGATCTTGAAGGCAGAATCCAAGTTCTTTAGAGGCAAAGCTGTGTGGCCTTCTACCTACAGAGTTCATATAAGTGTTTTGATTAACATGGAATAATCTGTCACCAGAAGCCGAATGACTAAAAGATAATTAGGGAAATTTCAGCTCACATTGTAGGAGAGACTATCCTTGTGTTAATTAATGGTTTTGACCTGAGTCAACTTGGGAGGTGTTTTAATCAGAGACCTTGAGGCTGGAATTTTTTAAATAACATAAAAAATTTCAACATAATAAGCTGTCTTTTTTTTCTGAAAGAAGATTCATGACAGCTCGCCAAAAATATACTTTTCAGAGATATTTTGTTGTTATTTTCCTATATGTCAGGCAGGTCTCTCTCTGCTGAGAGGTTGACCCCACTTCACCCCTATTCTTGCCACCTCTGAACTTCTGAATTATAATCCTAGACCTGGCTTTGATCCCCTGAAGGGTCACCAAGGAAGGACGTCAGAAACTGGTGGACTAAACAAACTTACAGAATTTTTCTTACCTGGTTTTCCATCAGTTTTATACTGAGTCTCTGTTTTATACAACTTTCAGAAATAGAATGTTGCTATTCAAAATTCCCTCTGGCTATACAGTTCTTGGTTGATCTTAACACATGATACTAATATGGCTCTAATAGTTAGAAAGTCAGGATAGAGATGACCATAAAGTTCAATAATTCAAGAAAAAAGAAGAATTAGAGATTGATGTCTAGAGTCTTAGAAGTTGCCTCAATTAGAGAGAGGACCATCCAAGAGGACTGAGGAGTTGATTTTAGGTGTTTCAGCCAACATGATCAAGTAAGAAATCAAACAATTATCATCTTATCAGATATAACTATTCTCTTTTAAGTCTAAGAATGAGGGGCATCTCCTTGGTATAGCTTAACATTTGCCATGGCAAAATGTGCATACTTACAAGAGAAATGCAACTCTCTGTGTATATACATGAGTACATATGTTTACAAACACAATAAACAATAAGAAATTCTTTAAAACAAAACACCAAAAATAGTAAAAAAAAAAAAAAATACAATTTTCTTTCAGTACTCATGAATTGTGTGTTTCCATGTCAACTGTTTTTAATAGGATAATACATTCTATAGGATATATAGAGGCTAAATATGAGATATAGCTAATAGGTTTTAACATCATTAAATTAAGAAATCAAAACAAAACCTCAAGTTTATGACATAAAGTCAAGTTTTTGGCCCTGAGCTGTTGACAGAATGTTTATTTTTTTAGAATTTTGGCTGTATACCACATTTTAATAAATTGCTTACTGAATATTGCACTTAGGCTATAGTTCACCTAGATGCAACTATTTACACATTTCCCATCCTTAATACATTTCTTGTCTCCACTAAGAACAGTTATCTTCCATGGTGGGTAAATTAGTTCTATCATATTAAGAGTTTGATATTTTCTTTTGTAAATTTATGCTTTTATGTATCACACATTTTTGACAACTTAGAATGAATATCAATAATTTAATTCTTATGGAATTTGATATGTGTTGTCTTCTCAGGGTTGACTATTACTTTTGTCACAATATATTTTATTTTCAACACACAGGTAAATTATCTTTGTAAATATTTTATTTAGAATTTTATTTCACTAGAATTTTAAAATTTGGTTGTGTTATTTGGTTATATAGCCAATAACGAAATTTCAGCTCACATTGTAGGAGAGAAAAAAAAGTTTCATTACTTTTCTTGTGTTCTCAAATAGTGTAAATAATGGACAACTTTCTGAAGGCATTTCAGAACTCAGAGTAGAATAATCTTGATGTATTCTCATTTAGAACAGAATATATTTACTATTTTTATAATTTCCAATTAGTTTTTCCTTCAAATTTTTTATTTCTTCTTCAGCCAACTTTGTTAAATAAAATTTTCTTTGTAAATTACCTGTTTTACTTAGATTTTTGATGTAATGGTTCAATGTTGTATACAGAATTCTACATATGCAAATGATTATTTTTATTTTGTGAAATGATAAAAAAACATTAATCTATATAGATCTTTCATCATATGTCTGGGTACATACTCACCATCCCATATCAGAAATGATTAATACTTTTATTGCATGCTTCAAATCTTATGTTTGATACCAAGTCCCACTGTTTTTGAAAGCAATTATTATTTAATTTGTTATGTAACTGTATGTGTATTAAAAGATGTCTCTTTGAGAGTCAAGGCTTTCACAATCACAGTAGCAACAAGACTTCCCATTCCCAGCTATCTTGGTGAAAGTAGGGGCCATGTGAGATACAGAAACAAGGCACCACTCCTCCTACTAGATAGGGAGATATTAGAAGAAATCTAACAGGGAGTCAGAACTCCTACTATCTTACAATAATTAGTACCTTTCCTCCTTGAGTAACGAATTAAATAATATAAAAATATAACAAATTAAATAATATAAAAGTATAAATATATATATACACACACAAATACATATATGTGTTTGTGTTTTTATGTGTATATATATATACTTTTGCCTTTGCATAGACACATTTTTCCCTATTCCTTTGGCTATGTACAGTTAAAAACTGAGACATATATAAAACATATTCTGAAAGGTGGAGAGAGATTCAGGCAGTTTAGGGACCTCAGTACCTGAGAAGTGATGTAGTGATGAGTTTCCTGGGTTTTCTTTTTGATTCGTATATTCCAAACTATGAGCTGGATGAGATAGTGACCTGGTAATGCTGACAGAAACATACTTTTTAAAAGCCCTAACAGATGTCTGATGTTCCTAAAAGACCAGGAAGATGGCAATCTAGCAAGAGAAACTTTTATACAATAAACACATTGTTGAAGAAAAACACGTTAGGAAAGATTGTGGCAACACCCTCATCCAGCCAGCAAATGCTGGATTTGGAGCCTGGATTTTCATTGCCTCTACGTTGTAGTGAAGTTTGTAAACCTCCCTCCTCTGCCCTACAGGGCTGGTGTGAGAGGAAGCTGAGTTGGGTACCAAGACATTCATTCTCTCCAGGCGGTTACAAGGACCCTAACATGCTATTAACGAAGACCAAATGGTAAGTCTGCATTTTCACTTCTACCTTCGGTAATGAGGTGTTACTCTTTTTTTACTCACTGGGAAGTTATTAAAAGATGTCTCTTGGAGAGTTAAGGCTTTCACAATCACAGTAGCAATAAGGCTTCCTACTCCCAGCTATCTTGGTGAAAGTAGGGGCCATGTGAAGTACAGAAACAAGGCACCACTCCTCCTACTAGATAGGGAGATAATAGAAGAAATTTAATGGAGTCAGAACTCCTACTGTTTTACAATAATTAGTACCTTTCCTCCTTGAGTGTGGATGTTGGCCAGTGGCAGAGCCGAATTTCTGTCCCCTTCTGGCAGTAACATGGGAGTGCCCCACTCTTCCCTTGCCAGAGTGATGTCAGAGAAAGACACCTAAAACAGATTTAAATAAGATCCAGCATTTCGTAATATCCAAAAGGTCTAGGTATTGATATAAAATTATATATCGCAATGAGAACCAAAAAGATCTCAAACTGAATAAAGAAGATAATCAATAGATATTGACATGGAGATAACAGGGGTGTTAGAATTATCTGGCCGAGATGTTAACGCAGCCATAATAAAAATACTTAAGTAAGCCACAATATATATACTTGAAACATAAAAATAGAAAGTTATGACAAGGAAATAGAAAGTCTCAGCAAAGAAATTAAAGATATAAATAAGTTCTAAGTGAAAATCATAAAACTAAAAAAATCATTGAAATAAGTAACTTAATGGATAGTTTCAACAGCATAATGGAACAAAGGAGACAAACAAGGACCTTGAAGATACAACACCGCAAATTACTTAATGAGAATAAAATAGACTGAAAAAGAAGTAGACAGAACTGGGCAGGAACAGTGGGGTTATAATGGAAAAAAAAAAACACCCTAACATTCATGTTATTAGAGTCCTGGAAGGAAACAAAAAAAGGTGAGGCTGTAATAGTACTTAAAAAAATAATGGCTAAAAATGTCTCAAAAGCAAAAGACAGAAACACATTAGTCTAAAGAAGGTAAGTGTGATAGGGTCAGGTGTCAACCTGACTGGATTAAGAAATACATAGACAGCTGGAAAAACCTTATTTCTGGGTAGATCTGAGAGGGAGTTTCCAGAGGAGATTGGCATGTGAGTTGCTGGACTGGCTAGGAAAGATCTGCCCTCAATGTGGATGAGCAATATCCAATTATTTGGGAGTCCTTATACAACAGAGAGGCCAAGGAAAGGCAAATTCTTTCTCTTTCTATCCTGTAGCTGGAATACCCTTCTGCTAACCTGGGACATCCAGGCTGTCCAGTTTCTGAATTGCGAAACTTATACCTGTAGCCACTTGGGTTCTTGGGTCTTTGGCTTTGAGACTTACATAGTTTCCTTTGTTCTGAGGCTTTCAAACTTGGACTAAGCCATGATACTAGCGTTTCAGAGACTCTGGCTTGCAGATAACTTTTCGTAGGACTCCTTGGCCTCCATAATCAATTAAGCCAATTTTCTTAATAATTCCATCTTGTCTGTCTGTCTATCTATCATCTATCTTATTGATTATGATTCTCTACAGAACATTGACTAATACATTGAGCAAACTCTAAACAGGATAAAAGCAAAAATATTACACCAAGAGACATGATAGTCCAGCTCCTGAAAGCTAAAGACAAAGAAAACACATTGAAAGCTGTGAATGAGAAATGACACTTCACCTATAAGGCAAAAATAATTCTAATAGGCAGCAGATTTCTCATCAGAAACCATAAAGACCAGAAAGAAGAGAACTATCAACCAAGATTCTATATCTAGTGAAACTATCCTTCAGGAATAAAGAGGAAATCAAGATATTCTTCAATGAAAGAAATTAACATGAACAGGAACGTTATAAAGGAGAATATTCAAATATCTAATAAGTATATGGAACAATATATAATATTGTCTACTATTGGGAAAACAAATTGATTCTTCCATGATATACCACTTTTTTTACCTACTGAATAGCTAAAATTAAATAGATTTCCAGTATTATTATTGGCAAAGAGGTAGAGGAACTTCTATTCACTTTTGTTGATTGTATAAATCAGTTAACAGACTTTGGAAAATTGCTTGTTTCTATAAACCTAACATATGCCTATATCATGACTCAGAAAATTCATTGCTGCTACATACCTGAAAGATATGAGTGCATAGATTCTCAAAAATCATATTCAAGATATTTACAACAGGTTTATTCATATTTCAAACTGGAAATATACTTAAACAGTGTAATACTACCAACCTATAAAAAAAATACTACCCACCTATAAAACATAAATGTTACCCACCTATTATTGATTCTTCCTTCTTATAAAATAGTAAAATCTTAATATGCAGAATAATGCAGATTAATTTTATCAACATTATGTTGAGGAAAGGAAGCAGGACACAAAAGAGGATATATTCTATAAATCAATTTATATTAATTTTAAGAATTGATAGTGCTAAATGAAGTACTAAATGATGGTTTAAAAAGTTAGAATAATTAGAAAACAAAGGGTGAGAAATGAACAGAATAATGAGAAAAATGAATGAGGGAATCTTCTGGAGTTTTGAAAAATATCATATATCTGATTTTGGGTGGTACATAAACTATCTTCAAGCTCTACACTTTTGTGTGTATGTGTGTGCACACACAGGTGGAGTACAACTGGCTGAAGTGTGTTTTCTAACACTAAATTGTTTGAGGTCCTATACAAAAAAATCCAAAAAATTAGCTGTTCATGGTGGTGTGTGCCAATAGTCCCAGTTACTGGGGAGGTGAAATGGGTTGGGTTGAGGCTACGGAGAAGCCAGGATTGCACCAGTGCACTCCAGCCTGGGTGACAGAGTGACTCTCTGTCTCAAAAAAAAAAAAAAAAAAAAAATTAAATTAAATTAAAAAATAAAAAACAATGTGAGGTTGGGTTTTTCAAATTTCAAAGTCCATGCAATCTCCATTATGCCATATTGCCCTCCCAAAATAAATAATACATCTATATATAATTCTAAAATTCAATAAGCCTGAAACATGGAAGATAATATATCCTGATTAATAATACTGATGAAATCATATTACTATAGGGATAATTAAACATAATTCATCCGTAATTCTGCATAAAATATCATCTCAAGTGAAGATTTATTTATGTTTAAAATTGGAATTTTCCTATTTATATTAAAAGACAAATAAAAGAGTAGGACTTTGGTTATGCTCGTAGTGTGTGGGTTCAATAGTAATACTGATAAACAATTTGAAAGGTAGTTTTCTTTTTCTACAAAGATTTAAATTATTTGGATATACTACAAAACTCATTTAAAAGGATAAATAGCACATAAAAGAAATAAGACATTTATATAATATGTAATATTAAAATAATATGTAATTGGATATAATATTCCCTGTGGATCCCTCCAAATTAAGATATTCTCACTAAATCTCTCCCAACATATTGCTTATCTGGCTTACCTAATTCTCTCTCAGGTTTTCAGTTATCTCCTATGTGCTGAAAATCACCAATTTTGTAACTTTAGGCCAGACCTCCCTCCACCTCTTCCATCTCCTTTACTATCTAAACATTTAATGGATAATTCCACAACAAAATGCCCTACAATGAGCTCATAATCCCCTCCTCTCAATTTATTTATGTATTCTCAAAATCATATTGCAGTGCCACAGTTAGCCCATTCATCCAGCTAAGAACATTATGTCATACTTCATCACTTCCAGTCACTTTATGTCTTGATTATATGCATATAGTATCCTATGCACATCATGCTGTTGTTTTTTCTTTCTTATCATTCCTATATTTGATCATTTTTAGAAATAGCTCAAATGACTCTAATTAATACTCTATCTTTCATTCTGTGCATATGTCTATTTCTAATTATCTAATTATATTATAATCTGGTATAAAATTTTGTTCTATTGGAAGGTAGCTGCATCTAGTCCCTTGCCATTAAGACAATCTCATACATGCAACCTTTCATTTGAAGGTGATGGTATAAACAGACATTTACTTCTATGTTATTATACACCAATGTTCATGAACCCCTTTCAGAAAACAGACTGAATGTCTGAATTAAAAAAGAAGAATGTATATCTACAAAAGTTAAGGTTTATATTTGTTTAGTTTATGCTAGATTGCTTTTCTTTTTCCTATAAAAGGAATTGAGGAAAATTCTCTTCTTATTCCAAATGAGATCTGACATTTATGGCTGGAGGTCACACTAGATCCAAAATTTCTGCTCTTGAGGAAATCATAAGGGTGTCAAAACACTTTCTCACACTATTGGTAGATTTAAAGGGTAAAATTCACAGATACTTGGTTTTAGCAGTGGAAAATCTGTCTGCGTCATTCTGTAAGTGAGCCATGCTTCGTTCTCTTGGCTACAAACCAGTAGAATATGTGAAGGTGGGAGCAATAGGTTGTTATAGCTGTACCCTCCTTGGCAGTATATTTGGGAGAGAAAAAGGAAATGGTGTCTCACAATTTTTTAAATAATTTCAGTCCAAGGACTTAAAGCACTATCTAATCAATAGAGTGGCAGGAACTCCAGTTTGACTGACATGATCTCACAGATAGCTGTTTTATTTTTAAATTTTTAAATGAATGAATATATGCATGAGAAAAGCAAATATAAAATGTTTATCTTTTGAATATATTTAGCTCTTTTAATTTTCATTTTGGAAGGGAACAATCAACACTTGACTATTTAACCCAAACCACGTTTTCCCAAAGTGTGATTTGCAGAACCCTGATTTAAGCAGCTGTTTGATAGGAATTAAGTGGTAGAAAGACTTCAACAATCAAACACATTTGGAATCACATAGCTAAGCAAGGTTAAATAAGTTTCTTCTCTTCATGAGTTAGAGCATTAGATGTGCAAACATACCTTAGAATCTGTAGCATATGCAGATTTTCTGCAGTTTTTGAATATGGCACTTTTTAATGGATTGTCTCAAGATAAAAATATTTTATGGAATTCATGTCACATACAGCATGCTTTGCA